TAAATGAATCAAGGGAACAAGGTGGTGGACAAGTTGCGTGATTTGGGTGAGTGTGACATGAACTTCCCTCACTCCACCACACTGCTTGAACCAGTTCAGTTATATATCAAATTTTGTGATATAACTGAACCTTAACCCCTGGCCAAACCCAAATCGAGTAACTAATAAGGAAACGACCATGATTTTATCTCATCCTTCTCATTCGTATAAGTGTATACCTCAGTTTATAACCTAGTGATACTTGTACTCCGATTTAATTCGTTTTTCGTTTGCAGGAAAACAACGATCACAACCAGCGAGCAGGATCGGAAATTTTTTTGAACTGCATTAAACCGATGATCAGATTTCGAACAAAAACAGTGAATAAAAATCTTGCATTGGTCGAAACGGAAAAATGCCAACATCAGTGAGCGGATAGAAATGTACGGTTCTTTAATGAACGTACCAAGTTTGCTGGTGTAAAATATCAATGCGCAGTTAGTTTAAAAAGTATCTATCAAATTACCTTGTCCAGATCAAACTTTGGAAGATTGTTGTACAGATCGGCAGAGGAAGCGCACAAGTACCGACCCAATAGGGTCGCATGGGTGGTGAAAACTGTTGCGACATCGAGGTGACGAGTACGGGTAAATATAAGACCAACACTCGTGAGCCACTCGTGAAAATGTGCGATGATAGGAGGTCGTGGAGCAGGTTCACACTCCTTGAGATTTTCTGCAAACTGTAATGGGTGAAACAGATGTACTCAAATTTTGTTTGTACTCGACAATTAGAGGCAAAATTATTACTCCACTGAGTTTCACATCTACCTTAAACCAAACTGTAAGCAAACAAAACACGATACAACAAACTGTATGATAAAGAAATCCGTTCAAGATTTGCTAGTGAGTGAAATACTGTCAGGTTGTCCAGGTGAAAGCGGTTGAAATTTCTCGGGAAATTTAAAATCGAAGCCCTCAATTAGCCAAATCCTGATTTGTAAGGCGCTGGCGGAAGGATCGGGAAAACAGTTTTTAAAAAATAACTAAGACTAAGCCGGTATAAAAGTATGCCAGTTTGATATATCAGTCAGGAAGTAAACCGATTAGGCGGTCTATCGCATATTCTGCATTTACAAGACAAAAACGATTCGTGTCAAAGAGTTCATAGAAATTTGTCTGGTAAACAGCAGATGAACCCTATAGTCACGATAATCTGACGTTTGAGCAGAATAAACAATTCAAATCAAGAGACTCAGAGTAGCGAACTACTTGCTACCCTGATAACGAGCGAGTCTGTTGGGAACAGACCCCCATGAAATAAACGCAAACTGATTCTCCAAGCGTAATAGTCGAAAACTGGCAGAATGAAAGGTCATTTATTTGAAGCATACGGACCATGCGGATGTCTCAGTACCTCATAAAATGAAAAACGCTAGATTGAAAGCAAAAACTATGGAGCAGTAAATATGTATCAGTAATGTTATCCGGATTAGTTTGCATAGATTGATGTAATCGTCCTGGATAGGGTCCAGTGGGGTCGTGCTCAATCAGTGTTGGTGACACTGTGTGGCAAACAGTAATAAATATTTTTACTTTTATTTCAACAAGCAACTAATTACAGAACTGGCAAATGTACCACAACATACGAACAAAAAATCTGCAATCTGTTCATAGGTTGTGTGGGCATGTACTCGCCGGTTGCCTTATAAGCAGCAACCTGAAACAGGTAAGGCGATAGCATAGCACAAAGCAGAACCAAAATTGAGGAAACGTAAGAAATGATAAAATAATGGAACGTTAGAATTTCGATTATTAGAAACGACTATGCTTATACATTTATTCCCTCTCCCCAAGGAATTTAAGTGCACAGGTGACGACGAACAGAACAAATGTAGTGTGACATGCAAGATGATACGAAAGCAAACCTGACTTTGAAAATGAATCACGGATTTTTGCAAACTTCTAGAATTTTACTCAAATCATTATTTAAATTACCACAGTACCGGAGAAGAGAGGATTCCCCTTTGATGACTGGCATTTGAAACAAAACACGGTGTGGTGAATAAGCTTGTTTTCAGCAATTCGTAATACATCACATCTCTTTACTACTTGATATTCAATCCAGCGAGTATTTAGAATCCGAAAGTGAGGAGCTCCTAACCTGGGTTCGAAGGTACTGTAGTTCAGGCTTACAATCGTAAACGACAGGAAAGTTAATACACGTAAAACGAATGTTCCAAACAATAAAGACAAGATGGGAAACAATAAGGATGCTCACTAACTTACTTCGCCTAAAAACCAGGCAACTAGGGCTCCAAAGATGACAGCATCATTGCATTCGCTATCGTGTACCGGGATGCCAATATTGCAAGACTCCCACAAATCCTTCTTCCAAGAGTCAATTCGCCAGGCAGAAGAGCCAATGTCAAACAGAACAACATTGGGATAGCCTTCAATCAGCCACCGACCAAATACAATCTACCGCGGAGGAATCAAGCAAAGTTGATGTTAAATTCAAAGACAGACACGAACGATGAATATTACATATCGCAGCACGTTCTGAAGTCAAAAGGGGAAAGAGAACCTCCACAATCTGCTGTGTAGTGAGAGCAGCTACCAATTCCAGTCCTAGACCATGCTGTAGTGAACCGCATGAAGCCCTGACAGAAAACGTAAATTACTGAATCGGATGACAGTCAAGGTATTTAAATTAGGACCGTAAATAAAAAACATGGTGAAAACAATAAACCTCAACAAATAGTTTCGAAGATTCATTATAAACACTAACCAGCCAACATCTATTTATGGAACACATACCGGTTTAATTGAAATAATTGCAAAATTAAGAAGTGTTGCACCTGTGATATTTGGGTCAAAGGTGGACAGGTGTGTTCATAAATTCGGGAAATAAGGGAGCAAGACGATCATTTTCGTTTTGAAAAGACCAATACTAACTTTCGATATCAGTTAAGGCTTTTGACATACTGAAAATAAATGAAATCACACAGAAAAATGTATAAAGAAGATTTAGCTAGAATAAAAAGGCTTGGGCGTTTCTAACCTTTATGTCGTGTTTACGCAAGGCATTGATCGTCCTTTTGAGAGCTTCATTCGTTGGTTCTGAAACATCGACTTCAGTTCGCATGCACACCTCATTTAGAGGACCCAAAAGCACGTAATGATCACCCAGTTCTTCGACCGTTGTTGCCGCTTTTGTGCGAATAACTGTATAGATTCCACCGACTGTAAAATAAAGTAATGAGAACGTGTTTTAGTCTAACGGCAAGAAATCGAAAGTACTGCATCCCATTTCAAATGCTCTTAAACTCAATAAACCTTGAGTACAATCGTATGAGGAAAGGAAAAATTTATTCACCCCACGGGTTTCAAAACTGAAAAGCAAAAAACTTGATTGATTTGAGCCACATGCAACAAATATCCACGATGCCGTGTAAAACAAATGAATAACCGAAAAGGCCTCACGATCCCGTTCAATTTCGTCATAGACGAAATACTGGAGAACGCACTTAGTGGTCTCCAAAATGTAGGTATTGAATGGGCAGCTCAAGAAAAGCCCTGCGATTTGGATTACGGTGACGACATCGTTTGCCTGTTTCAATGTATGGAGCATGAGTAAAGCGCCCCAGACATGCTAGTAAATTATGTTGCTTCGTTGAACACGCGATTTGTATCTTCCTACTGCAGAGTTACGCTGCAAGACTGGGTGTCATGGGATCCCGTTCTGAAACTAGGTGATCAGGAAGCAACCGAAGTTGATTGCTTCTCGTACTTGGATAGCTGCGTGACCAACGATGCATTAAAGGTAACCGGACGCAGTTCCAAAGCTCGAGCAACGTACGTAGGACTAGACCACCCGTGGCGACGACGTGACGCTTCACTGAAGTTGAAAATTCGCGTATACTGCGCCACTGTACGATCAGATCTGCTTCACGGATGTGAGACCTTGAATTTGCAGATAGAAGACATTCGTCGACTAGTGATTTTCGAAAATCGATGCTTACGCAGTTGGACGGAGTGAGCGGGTTAGTAAGCTAGAAGTAATTCGTCGAGTATAAGGGAATGCCTCGGACACGAACTCGCTATCTCACCGAATTCAGCTCAATAGGCTCCGTTGGTTAGGACACGTTTTGCGTATTTCCGATGGCCGCCTACCGCACAGCGTCTTATTTGCAGTGGTCGCTGCAGACTGGAAAGCCATGTGGAGGCCAACAGATGACTTGGAGACGAGGGAAGAAGTGTACAGAGCGATTAGGTAGAGTAGATGTTTCTCGTCTTGGGAATTGGGGTTCAAGATGCAGTAACTGGAAGGTTGGAGACAATGAAGGTCATGGCAACAAACCGACAGCAGTGACGATTTTGCTGTCATTTATTATCACATCAGAACGCTTGAAATGGTACGTATGAACAATTGTACTGTGTATTTCGTGTGTTGAGCATAGGGGTTAGCTTTGTTTCCCCGCCCCTCAAAATAGATCCAATCCTTATCGTCTTTATACATTCTCACATACCTTGTACGAATTATGAGTTTGGCAGCGATCGGCGAAGTTCGCTTCACTGTATTAAACTGCACAATGATGATGAATTAACGAACCCGAGGAACAAGGCGATGTTCAATGTTGTGTGGCAGTGACTTGGAGAAAAAAAGAAAATATATTCCCCTTCATAAGTAAAACTATTCTTTGGGTTAGGTTTATGCAGTCAAGGAGACTGAGTTATAAACTGGCGATTGAGGCTGCAGATAACGAAGAAAATAGTATTCGTAATACTCGGACATGGTTAACGGCTGTACGAACTGAACTGAAATGAATTAGGGGCCGCAGAATGTTTTCTTTGCTAGTAGGATAAAGCTGAACAAGTACTAGCTGAAAATGTGCGATGTAACACTTCTTTCCTTTCTTCCTTACCTTCCCGTAAATAAACAAAATAAACCATATTCTTCTTTGTTTTCTTTTTGTTCGAATTGGTGCACTTAAAACTGGGTGTTTGGTTTGTCATTGAATGAATCCAAAAGGGTACCTAATATCAGGGTCAACATCGAAGATATGAGAACCTGATAGAAAAATACAATTTTCTACATGAGATATGAACGCACACTTGATCACAACTGATGTTACTGCGCCACACAACAGCAGAGCTGCTTACCACATAAGTAGAGTGGCGACGGCTAGTTTTTAAACCAGCGACCAATAGAGTGAAGCGTCAATACTAAAAACTGCGGCTCAAGTTTATAAAACGAAGTTTCCTTCTGTTTCATGTACATAATGCTCGTATTTCCAAAAAGCATCTTTAATGCTTGCTTTATGATTGTTGTGCGTAAAGATGACAGAACCAATGACCAGAACAACGGTTGTGAATATAACAAGAGTTTTGCTGTTTTATACAACAAAGTCCAAAAACGAACCTTTAAACATAGATTCCTGCAAGAGAAATAATTTCTTACACATATAAATAAGCATAGAGACTGAATGTTCAAACATCCATTAGTAAAGCTGAGGAGAACACATATGAGTAATAGAGTGATAAATCAAGATGAAGTTGACGGGATTGATTTTAAGTGGTGCGAATGCTTTAAGGTATTTGTGTCGAAATTCCGCAAAAAGCATCAAGGAACAAAAGCATTTCAAGTGTACCGTGAAAAAACTATTTTAATTATTTTTGTTCTCTGTAATTGTTTTCTAAAACACCGGTTTCAATTGTACTTATTGGTCCCTTATGTTGTTATTGTTGTAGCGTTTGCAGAATTCTTGTTTACAAGCCTATTATAT